TAGAATATCTAGCAAAGACACCTGCCGTCTTAAGAAATACTGGGTTGGATCAGCATAAGGGTCTCCCGCAATCTGACGCAAGGCTGGGGTGATTATTCTCCTCAACAAACATCTCCCCCATGACGTTCTACAACACTAACACGACATGCAAGATGGTCGATGGTCATTTCACTCTCTCCATATAGGTATCCAACAACTAGATCATCTCAATGTGTACAGCCCGAATTCGGACAATAAATCTTTTTGTGACTTCCTCCTCTTCAAGGCTACATCCCAGCACCCCAACTCCATGTTCCTAATTGGTGGGGACTTTAATGGTGTACCCTCTGCCCCAGAAGACCATTGTCGAGATGATAAATCCCAACCTATGTGGACACCCCAAGACAGACATTTTCCGTCCACGTTGGCCACCAGCGGGCTCAAAGACGCCTGGAGATAATACCACCCCTTGGAAAAGGACTTCACACTACTCACATGCCCACCACAGTTTACAGTTTTTTCCTTGCTGTTCCTTCTACTCTTCACATAATTAAATATAGCCCCCCCTCCCTCTCCAACAATAACAAAACTCCTCCCTGTAAAAGCACAACTGTCACCAGAACAAATAGAGGGGTGAATTCTGTGCAATGGGCATAGAGGCAGCAATGAAAACCAGATAGAGGGTCTAACCCTTCTGTGTTCAAACTAAAAACAAAGGTTTTGCCTAGAGATACAAGGTTTTGATATAGAGATATATAGGGATAGAGTCTAAAGTATTTAAGCTATTTTAAATGCTGATGAAATCACTTACAATGGATGCTGCTTTTTGATGTTTAAAAGTTTTAGTTTCCTGCAGAATCAGCTAGTCCTCTGAGCACTGGCCCTGATATCCTGTTTAAAGCTGCAACAGATTCCTCCATCTATGCCAAACAGTGTGAATGGAGGAATCTCCCACTGGGCCAAGCTTCAGTATCTCGCTAGTCGGCCCCACTGGCTCTCAAAACACTTGATTGGATGCAGGCATTGTTCTAGTATTTTGAGAGCGGTGAACAAATTTTGCCCGGCCTGCTCCTCCCCTCCGCGTGCAGCATCTGAGCTGCTCAGCCCGCGCTGAGAGGCTGTACCTGCCGTCTGACAGAGGGAAACTTGTCTGTGGAAGTGAGTCTGCATGTGCTGCATCTATTAACATAGAGAAAAACATCAGAGTGAGCAGTAAGCAGTGTAATCTGACCAGGATTCATCTTGGAATGGGCAGAAAAATAGAAAGTGATCAATTTGTTGCCATATCCCACATCTGCATTGCACTATATTGGTTTATTTGCAGCCCCCTTTTTGTGCTAACCCCTCAAGCAGTATCTACATCAGTGACCAGTGGTGTAACTACCACCATAGCGACCCACAAGGATCTCAGGTGGGCGATGGGGGGTCTCAGGTGAGCTGAGCAGGGTCTCTGGTATGTGCCAGGTCTCAGGTGGGCTCTGCAGGGTCACTCTCAGGTGGGCTGTGTGGGGTCTCAGGTGAGCTGTGCAGGATCTCTGGTATGTGCTGGCTCTCAGGTGGGCTCTGTGAGGTCTCAAGTGGGCTCTTAGGGGGTCCATGGTGGGCTCTGCAGGGTCACTCTCAGTTCCAGCCATCACATTAGGGGTGAGTTACTTAAATGTTTGACCAAATATAGCATGCTAATTTTTAAGCTGATAGTTGTTGTGTTTGCATGTAGACACACCTGATGCATATTTACGTTTATATGTGTGTGCACGTGGGGGACTTACAGTATGTGTGTGTGTGTGTGGGGGGGGGGGGGGTGTTTCTTTTTTTTAATATGTAAGCCTTAATTTTTATTTTTTTTAACTTTTTTTGGTTTACACTTTATCGCTATCACATAGGGAGCTTGTTTTCCCCCTATGTGATAGCACACATACAATGACAGGTCCTCTTTATGGAGACATCAGGGGTCTCTAAGATCCCTAATGTCAGCTAGGGACCCCCAAAGAAGCTGATGAAGCAGATATCTGCTTCACCAGCTTCTTCTCGGGCTGCTTTCTACATCACTTCCACCTTCAAGCATTGGATGAGTGATCAGCAAGTAGGAAAATGCTGATCTCTCCTCCGTTTAGAGTGCCAGTAGCCGCTGTGCTGGTCTTGGGCTCGCATTGGGGGGGATGGGCCGCGGAGCCCGGGATAATCGGCAGTGGCGCGGTGGGCGGGGTGGGAAGTGTGGCAGTGGAGGGGGAGCTGCAAACTGTTTGTTGGCATACAAGCCATCGGGCAGCTGTATAGCGGACTGAACGCTTGTATGGAACAGCCGGTACCAGCTGCTCACATTTACTGCGGGATTCTGCGCACTCAAGCAGATAAAGAAAAAAGATGTAGATTTACGTGAACCCACTGATAGGAGGTTGCTGCCCGTCTGTTTATTTACAACGGGCGGACGGAAGCGGTTAAGAAAAGGGTAAAGTTCTTCTTCAACCCTTGCAGTGCTGGGTTAGCCCCTCTGCAAGGGTTAAGGAAAGTTTTACCTTGAGTTATGCTTTATTTTTTTTGAGGGGGGATCCTCTTTAAGTGATTGGATTTACATATACTTTAACCACTTCAAGACCAGGTGTTTAGCCCCCCTTCCTGGCCAGGCCATTTTTCAGTATTCAGCGCTGCGGTACTTTGACTGACGTTTATTCCGTCATGCAGCGCTGTACTGAAATGAATTTTATACCATTTTTTGGGGACAGATAGAGCTTTATTATGTTGGTATTTAATCACCACTGGGGGGTTTATTTTTTATTATAATTAGGAAAAATTACAGAACATTTTGAAAAAAAAAGTGTTTTTTGATCGGCACCCCATACACGCGATCCGCCGGCTCTAAAGCCGGCGGATCGTTTGTATGGTATCAGGCATCGCTGCCTGTTTTTAAAAAACAACAATTTCCCGCTCGGGGGGCGTGTCTGAGCGGACGTCTAGAGACGCCCGCTCAGATCTAGAGAGGCCCGGAGGCAGTTAAAGGAGAACTATGAGGTGAGTGATTTTCTCAAAGACAAAGTAGCTGTCACAGGTCGGCTCTATCGATCGGGAAGTGAGCAGAAACACGCCGCGGATCTGCTCACTTCCCGATCGTCTCCCTGCAGTGCGCG